ATGATTTTAATCCTCAATTCAATATGAGTTGGGAAAATTTTCCTGAAAAAGAATAAAGAGGACCTCCTTATCATAGATATGATTATTGTTTTCCCAAAGGTTGTTATGGAGTTGAATTAAAAATAACAAATTATGGAAATGATGATTGGATAAAAATGGATGGCAATCCTAATGAATGGAGAATTTGTATCATGGTACTAAAAATTCTGCTATAAACTACATTTTAAAAAATAATTTCGTACCAGGGGGTGGATAAGCTCATGCTGCTAATTATTGTCAAGATGAATTTGGAAATACAGTTAATAGTTAAGAAAAATTAACCAATAAGAAAATTGTGAAATGGTAGAATAACTTAAATTACTAATCCATTCAATTGAAAAGGTTGTTAAATTATTGTAAGCTTCCATAAATCAGAACCTTGAAATTTTTCAAATGCCAATCATTAAAGTTGTCAGTGATTTAAAAGAGAAATTGGGATTAATCCTCTATCGATTTATAAAAAAACAATGAATGGAAAATTAGAGAGGGTTTGTATTAACAATAATTTAGATTTCATTAAATAGCTTCACCGCTATTACTCGATTTTGTTAAAATGCTTGAATTTAATTATGGGTTATAGAAAAAGATTAAAGAGTTAGATATTTGAAGAGAAATTAAAACTGAATAAGTCTATAGTTGTTAAAATTTATAGAAAGATTGGTAGAGTCGATAAGATAGAATTGTAGGAGTAATGTAATTAATGCTGAGTCGAATCGATTTTTTGTAAGAATACATTACCCAAGAGGCAAAAGTGAACAAAAGAAAGCTATCAGACGAATACATTCAAAATATAGTGAAATGGGCTAATAACTCAGATTGAAAACTGATTTTCAATCATATCAGGAAAGGGTGATTAAGAGTTGAGGGAAACAAAATCAAATGAAGAAGTAATTCAACAGCATAGGGAATGATATTAAATTTTTGAGAGGAAAATCGGTAATATAACTGCTTGAAATTAGAAAATGGAGAGTTTAGAAGGATACAGCTGAATAAAACGTTAAGTCCATCTATGTGAAATTAAAAACTAAAGAGAAAGGTACAAATGAGATCATTAATTTGATGAATTTAGATTAATTTGATGATAAAGTTGGAAAAGTGAATGAGTTTTTATATGAAGGGAAAACATGCTAATTCATGGATTAGCTGGATCAGGTAAGAGTACTACAGCCAAGAAAATTGAAGAGCATATTTGGAAATTTCATTACAGTAATAAAAAAATTGGGAATTTCGTATTAATACCTGTTTATATATCGTTACCCTATTTAATAAAACCCTGTTTTTTGCAGTTTAGGAAACACTTCCCCAATATATGGGTTTGATGATCTCTAATTGAAAGAATGTTAAGAAATGTTGTAAAAGAAAGTATTCCGATTCATATTTATAATGGATAGATATGATGAAATGAAGCTAGAAAATTTATTCATGAATAATAAGCTCAAATAAAATTGGTTAGACCCTCTTGTAATTGTTACCACCAGAGGTGAAATTTTCGATTTAAAGTATTAAAATGTTGATTTTTGATGTATATGAATGGTAAGTATAAACTTAAAACCAAAAAGCTTTCGATCTTAAAGAATTTGGATAGAGTTGGGGAATATTATCATTTTTGAAATTTGATGTTGCAAGATTGAAATCTGAAACTTTTTTAATGAAAAATAAATAGACAGAATTTTACTATTTGTGAAGGATGATGAGGTAATTGCTTTTCAAAGCTTTAAAGGTAAAAGAAGCTTGTGCATAAATTTAAAAAAGTTATGGAGTTTTAAAAAGTATGAAGATATGCTAACTTAGGTAAATCTAACTAAATTAGTGGAA